TATTTTCACTGTTTACACGAAGATAAAAAAAGTAAGGTGTGCCGAAATAATCTGTTAAAAAGAAAGTGTTTAAAAAATATACACGAACTAGCGTTCTTTTAAAAATTACATGTTTCACGTTATACAGACAAGTCTATTTCGCATGACCAATTTTCGGAATTATATCATGTTTTGGTATGTGTTAAAAAAATGCATTACGGAACACAAATTCATCTGGATTCTATGTTTTACTTGATTCGCTAATTTATTTCTGACGCGTTACAAAGAATAATTCAGTCGCTCGTTGTACTCGAGTCCCATTAATATATGTATATGTATAACACGTACCATGTTCGTGTAAAATTGGCATTTTTGTTTGTTTCTCTCTGTCGTAAAATCTCAAAAAACACCATGATATATTTCGAGAAAGAAAAGTTTGTTTCATAGGACAGCAGGTAGTAATCAGAAAAATAAAATTTTCCAATCGAGAAAAGTTCGACCCACGAGACGGCGTTACAGAAATTGCAAATGTATCTTCGCTAATACTTAAAAAAACATTTCCCTCGAATCTTGTCTGAACGATTACTCAACGTACAGTCTGAAAGTACAAGTCTATATTATATGATACACAGCAAGTATATCTGATACATCAGCATCAGATTTGTCTCAATCGTTCGAGGAATATTATCTTCCTCTTCTTACTTGTAAAAATATCCACAACATAGAGGCATAGTGTGCATTTTATGCCAAAAGGCGACGCGTTTTAATGCTATATCTATATAAAGTTCTTGTACCTCGCGTACTAGGCTCTTTATCACGAAGGTCACCCGTTCTTCGAACAGCAAATTCTCGTATCGAAAAATACAGTGTTTACGCCAGCCTTACGTTAAATTCGACTTTCGAAACAGTATGTATTTTTCGTTTAATATGGCCGGTGCTTCTTGTTAACCGATGTACACACAAGGTCAATATTATACCTTCGCGTTTGAACACTCCATTAATGGACTACCAAGAAATAGGAAACACCACTCCACGATTCGTTTGTCACACGTAAATGTTATGAATGTATTTTCAGATCTACTCTCTACTCGATTACTTGTGAAACTGAAATATGAGATGCTTATGGGATGTGTCTATTTTACACGCATAATGACTATTAATAAATTCGAGTAGTAATATCAGTCTCAGTGAAAAATTCTCCTGCCGATCTGAATTGTAAACTAAAAAAAACCTTGCTACCTTGCTATCTATCTGCTACACAATAAAACTCTACGTCTGTGCATTTGTGTTACTAAATAAGGAGAAGCTTTTTCAATGAGACCGATAAAGAGTACTAATGGTGTATCAAGCCAAGCTAAAAACTCGACGTCTAGACCACCAATGCATCCTGGTAGCCCATTCGATAGGCGGAGTTTGCAAAATTTTCTTGATTAATTCTGCTCCAGCTCTGATTCTGTGTATAGTAGTGGTGGGACATGGTGGCCGATGCTTCTGGCCTGTGTGTGCGCGATATCAGGCCTAAAATCAACGATCATTTTATTCTGAAAAATCAAATGAAAAGCTTAACACGTTAAGCGCAGCGTCAGCCTCCTGACAGTGGACTTTTCGTTTAGGCGGCGTCAGTTCTCTTGGACTGACAGTGTACTTTTCGTTTGGTCGGCGTCTGTTTCCAGGGACTGACAAGCGAACCTATCGTTTGAACAGTATCAGCGCATGGGCCCGGTAGTATCATGGTTAAAAAATAATGCCGGCCTGCCGCCTCAACGGAAAGCCCAGCAAAATCGGCTCCGCGCTTAACGTGTTAAAATACTGCTATTACACTTACCTAGGAGTGATAAGGAGTGACGTACGTAGATGGGAACAAGCCTCGTCTGTTACCAATTTCTCCATGCCACCAATGTTGATCCGTACGGTCAGTTACAGTAATTACATCACCTCGTTTAAACTCGAGTTCACCAGGTTCTTGTGGCATGAAATCGTATAACGCTTGTACTAGGCACTGAAACAAAATATGATATTATGATAAAAATTAAACAATTTTTCTCTGTCTATATGTATATATATTTAATTGATTTCTATGCATCATTACTTCTTCTGGGATCATATCTCGTAGTTTAACATCTTGCGAGCGAGAAACGGATGCCGTACGATGATATTCTACTAATTCGTTAAGACTGTTAAATTTGACCACCCACAAGAAAAATTTTCCTTGGGCATCCCTCAATACTTTGAAGTGTTGAACACCATCTGAACACCTGAAGGAAACCATTAAATAATTATTACTTAATAGGTACATTTAATGTTCATATAACCACATGTAGTTTCTTTTCCATAGAATTTTACTAACTTAACAGACAAAGAGAAATCACCAGGCGAACTTTCACTAATTCTAATAAGAAAAGCGCCTTCTTGTTTGTTCATTAATAGTCTCTCTGCATCTGCTCTGGTTATCCTTCCATAATACCAACTGTAAGAAATATACAAAGCATGAACAAACAATGAAAACATGAAAGAAGTTAATAGCAATTTACAATAAATTAATGAAAAAAAAAACGAATAGAACACCCACTCGTGGTTTTTCATTTCTATGTAGTTACTTGGAATGAGTCCTTCTCTGGAATCTAGTTCAGCTCTGTACCAGTTCATGTCATCCTCCATATTTAGAATCTGTAAGAATAACATAGCTGTTATACCATGCATGTCACAGTAACAATGCTGTGTATTAAATCTGTTAAATCTAACAAATATGTTTATTGTTCTAATATAAATATAAACAAAGCATTAATAACATTGTGTATAATTTTATTCCAAAGGCTCATATTACCGAAGAACTCGAACTGTTTATGCCCTTTCTAATAGAAAATGTTTCTTCCATATACACCCAAATAAATTATGCTTTCAAAAGATTTAATCACATAATTGAAAGCAATGCCTCTGGAATATTTTATAGGGCAGACAACTCTGAATTGTGCAACGCTATAATTTACCGGTGAATTTTTTTTGGAAAAGGGAGATGTGTAAACTAAAAGGAATGTCACACGATTTTTTATTTAACCGCAAACGGAACAGGAAGAACAGAAATTGTTATCTTCGCCACACAATGTCAATATTACTTTGAGCCACACGTTTTAGGCGCAAGTAATATCTAAAAGCAAGTAAAAATCAACATTTTTTCTTCGACTCGAGGAAAAAGCGAACGGGGAGCATCATTTTGTACAGAACGCTACGCATTGTCGCGAATATCCTGAAGCGACACGCGACATCCGTTTGCGCGATAGCAGTTCGGAAAGTTCAGGATTGGTGAAACCATGTGCTGAAAACTAGCAACGGTACACAGTTTTCTTTGATTTTCTATTCGGAGAGTGTATCGCTACGATCGAGGATCGAATATAAGATGTACAAACCTTGAGGATTTGGCTCCTTCGAAAACTAAGCTCATCCTCGGCGGTAGCCGTAAAATCATGCTTTGCTATCGCCTCCATTCTGTTTCTTCGTTCCACGAGAACAAGAACGACAGAGAGGAAGAGAGAGAGACAATATTATATATCCAGTGGTTGAAGGCAGCGCTAAAACTAGCCGCCTTTGTTTGTCAGTGGGAAAATGTAATGACAGATACTGACTGTTATTAGTCTGGTACGGAGGTAGATTTTCCTGGTTGATATTTCTATACTATGAGTCAAAGACACGTAGGTGGTCACGACTATACGGAACGGAACGCGCGACACACACGAACGAACGACCACTTGTGCTTTTCTCTGGTGCGCTGCCTGCGATTATCTGAATCAGTCCTCCGTCAGTCCGCCTGGATCAATGGCACATTGGCACGAACATATTAGGCGCAACACGACTGCTGCTCGCGGATGGGCCCGTTCGACGATTCGAGTCACTTTTCAGGGAAGGTGAACTGTCAAAAGCAAAGGTAGGATCACGCGCTCGCACGGCTGTCCATCGCTCGTCTTATCAGACATTACACTCTCGACTCTCCCACTGATCTCGGCTCCGTGTTTCGGTCCACCGATGCGCACTGGCCCACTGCGCCGACAAGCCCACCTCGACGTCCGGATTCGCCTTTACACCAAATTGAAATGCGATCGACGCGTTCGATCCCGAGATGTATACCGATCAAACGACCATCGGATTCCTGTAAAACGGGCTCGCAAACAACCAGCGCTGGCTTTCCACAGTCGCAGGGACAGTGAACGCGATTTTACCAGACGAAATCTCCAGCGTACTATTTTTCTGTGGCGCAGGCGCGCGCATGCGTGCTCTACGTATGCTGCGTCGACTGCTCTGCCACCATTTTGTACTTGATATCACCCGTATGCGTGCACCAATGTTGCGACTTTTCAAAGCGCTACAGTTTTAAATAGATTTCTACGCTACGAGAAGCTTATCATCTATCTTTATCATCCCAATATCTTCCATTTACGGATCAAGCATCGTGCACGGTTTACTTTCTGCCGTTGGATTGAAAGCTCGAAAATTCTAAATCGATAAATAGATTCTCGACGAGCTTTCAAATGATCTAGCGAGCTTGCACTACCAGTACGGGTTCGTTCAACTTTTTCGTACAACAGTTCTCCGGCTGTTTCTTGGAATGAATATCATGTTCTCGAAATTCCATCGATGAATCAAAACTGAAGACCAAAGATAATGGAGTACTGCGTATTTTCCGTTTTCCGTCATTTCCTGCCATGTAGAATAGATTGCTATCGGGTAATTGGATACTGACCATGCGATAATAGCGAATGAAGTCGTGCTCGTTGCGTAATTATTTCACTCATCATCGAAAGAAGCAGGTTTGCGTTAAATGATGAAATTACGAAACCAAGAAACGACTAAAAATTTGACTCGTTACGCAAGCGATATCCCGAAACCACGGCTATTCTACGTTTGAAAGCGTCTTACGCCATGAAATATGCAGAAGAGAAATAGAAATAGAGAAACGTTCGAACTGGCCGCGAAATGCTTGTACATTTCCCGCCGACATCATTGTCGCCGATCACGTGAGTATTGAACAAACGTGCAGTGAAAGCAGGATAGGTTATAGTATTTGCAACGTGTTCAAATTGAAATTAGAACTGCCGTTCTGGTGGATGTTTACCAAAACACGGTGAACATATTTGAAATAAATGCTTGATCGCGCGGTAGATCGGACGTGTTGCAAGATACCGCGTAACTTCCACGACGATTAAGGTACCGGAAATTATCTTTCAGTTTACAAAGCGCGGTTCGCTCGTTTTTCAACTCTATTTACAGTTGACCGACGGGTTTCGAGAGACGGATCATCGATGCGTCAGGCTATTGTTAATTGTTACCGGTGTACGGTTGTTTTCGAAGCGGGAAAAGTTGGCACGATAAAGATCTCCGATCGACGTTCTTCCTAGATACAATACGGCCGAGGTAATGTATTGAACGCGGTTAAGGAACGAAAACCGTCGCGCCGCTGTAACGCGTATTGGGTTAATTATTCGCGCGTGTCGATCGATAATTGCTCGACGTAAATAGGCGTCGTTAACTAATTAATAAAACCCTCGTTGTCGGCCTTGATGAAAGTTCGCTAACGAGACCTTTCACGCAGAACAATGTTCCCTTTTTGTTTTAGTCGATTTGTTCGCTTCGATCGGATCGAATTCATAAGTCCGAGATAGATTTTTTACAATAGTTCGAAGAAATGAGAAAACGATCGTCTCGCGATTACGATTAGTTTGAGCGTGAACCGTGAACCGTGAACCGCGCGTCACTTGAATCAATAGCCCGCAACTTGACAGTACCGCGTCGAACTGTTATCTAAGACCTCATGCGAACGCATTGTTTATTCGCGTTTATTGTCTTGGGCTGTTTGCAGAAGGAGCAACGTTTTCGGAGAAGCAACGGGAGAGCAGGCGCCCGTGCGAGCGCGTTACCACGGAAATTGAATTACCTTTGTGCGACGGTGGCGTTGAAAGCGAGACTGGATTGTACCGCCTTGCAAACGAGCTTCCAATTAAACACGGCAAAGTACTGCAATTTGTACGACAAAGAATCTGGGGACGTACCGGTGTAGTCTCACCTAGCTGCGGCTGCAGGCGTCACGCGACCAGTCCCGTGGAAAATCTTTTAAATAGAACAGAGAAGAATTTTGGAAGGGAACAGACTCTGCACCGGGTCGCGAACGCATGAATACGCGCGCGTTTCGCTTCCCGTCGAAGATTTACGGACGTCGCAGATCCACGCTTCCGCCCACTTTCAATGAAAGTTCCCGAGAGATTTGCACGCCATTCGATCGTGCTAATTCCCAGCGACGAAAACAATTTCTTGACCGCAAGTTTCGTCGAGAAATATACTTAATGGGTCGAAACAAGAGAAGGGGGATAGGATTTGCTTGTCGTAGAAACGCCTCCCCTCCCCTCTGATTTTTCCATTGCAAATATTCGCGACCAGATGGTTCGCGAAGCATGAAGGTTAAAGAGCAAAGTCTCGCACAGGAAGGGTTTCGATTTGCGGGAAATATAAATCGTGATCCGTTCGAATCCGGTTAATCGAATTTAAATGAAATTCAGCAGTGGCCTTTGTTAGGGTTTCTCACGACTCCTACATGACGCGCCGTTAGCGCCGTCTTTTTCATCATTATCATAACCGTTACGTTATCCGTGATCTTCTAAAGGATGACACTGTTACACTTGGGGATTGTCATTAACAGAGAACAATTAAATTAACCGCATGCGCGCACCCGGTGCGTTCCTGGTTGAATAACTAACGACCTCGTTATTGCACAGTTACTTAACCCAGACCCCTAACCCCCGTTGCCGTTTATCAAACGATCCATACGCAAAGCATCTGATAAAAACTAAACGCATTTCAATCCTCAAGAACAACTGAACGATGAGAGAGACCGGTGGATTTCCATCGCGAGGAACGAGTATCGTTTCTAATACATGTATAGCTAGCAACTTATCCCTAAACGCATGCTGGTTGCACGGTTAATCTCCAAGGAGGAGAAACTGGGGTCAACAAACAAGACGCTGAAAGAGAAAAGAGAAAAGAGAAAAACGAACGGGGCATAGAGCGAAGCGAAGAAGAGCCGAAGTGCCGCGCGACAGCGAGACAGGACAGGACAGGGTGAGAGAAAGGAAGGAAGATGAAACGTAACGAGAGATGAAAAGTAGGCGGAGAGGAGGCAAAGAACGAGACAGGAAGGGGTCTCTCTTCGCGTCTGAGGGCGACCCTCGGTGGAAATGCAATTTCGGTTCTTGTCTGGTGGCGACTTCGCAACCGTGGCTCATATCTTCTACGAGGCGTAGCCCCTTCAAGATCGTTGAAGAAACAGCCTCTCTTGCAGCACACACAGAAGTCCCCTCTCTCGCTTTCTCTCCCCGGTCTTTCTCTGTTCCTCTCTCTCCCTCTCTTTCCCTCTGCTTGGCGTGTCTCAGCAGATGAAAGACTCCCGTGGCTATCAAAGGGAAAGGGAAGAGGCAAAGGCCCCACCAGACAATAATGGCCCTGAGTTCCAAGGTTTTCAGCCTCCTTGTCCAGGGATCGGTGGTCCAGACGCGTGATCACTCGAACCGAACCTGTTCGCCGATTCTAAGATTTTTTCTGCAAATTAGAACAATACCACGTACCTACGATGCACCTACGAGGTGTACACCTATGTGTAGGCGTATCTGACAGAGTAGTACGAATTTCGGTTTCGCGCGATCCGAGATGGGTTTTTGGATGTTTATTTTAAACTACGCGTCCGAACCATGCCAGCCAGCTAGCCAAATAGCCAGCCTCGACGAGGACATCTTCCTATGTCGTGCGAAACCGAGGAAAAACGCTGCACGAGGACTATTCACCGAGGAACGTTTCCCCTTTTAACCGATTACGAAACAAAGAAAGAAGGCGGTTCTAAATTTGTATCGGTTCATTTTGCATCCTCGTACAAGAGGTGAACGCTCTTCTGAACCGACGACGTTCTCGACGGACCCGCGTAGATTTCTTCTTCGTCGTCGTCTTCTTCTTCTTCTTCTCTTCCCCCCTCCTACTTCTCTTTCTTGTTCTTCTTCTTCTTCTTCTTCTCAGGGCTGTCGAAAACCGGAACAACGGTCTACGATGAATTTCCTACAAGCCGTCCCAGCACCTTGTTGCAATGATTCAGCATTCTCGATCGATTCACGAGAAAGGGAAAGGAGGATATCGATGGTACACGTGCCTCCTATTACACATTCCATGTTTCGTAGCAGAAGATCCTCAATGAAAGTTTAACCTAAACTGTAAATCCGATTAGGAGTACGACGAAACGCGCGTACACGTTAAACAATGATTCGAATCTAATCGATGTAAATGTTACCGTAAATGGTCATTAAGATCATTGTTGACGTCATCCTGTGAGGCATCGCATCGTTGAACTTTAAATACTATTATTAACAATTGTAATTTTTCGCCGTATAGGGTATGGTAAGTTTCCTTTTCCTGTTGACATACTTAACTGAAAAAAAACATTGATTCATGTTTCGAAAAAGTCTCGATGGTGTGTTCAAAAAATTTGTCAAAAAGACAAATCTTTGATACTTGTAAGGTCAAACGAGGTATCGCGCCCTTCGATTTAGGACCTTTAAAAAATGCTATAAAAATGCAATAAATTTAAGTCGTGTTCGAATATCGGTATCTTCGATTTCCCGCGCTTTCTATGGCTCCTCGTGATTCCAAATCCTACGAAGTAGTTACACAAAAGAGATGTTTCAAAGAGTACAACATTGAAAACACTTTTCTTTGTTTATATTATAATTTGTAAAGTGAAAGCACGAATAAGATGTGAATATAGATCGAATACCTTGTGAAATTACGTTCACTGATCGACTACTTTACCGTCTTGTAAATACTGACATAAGCGACCTCTTTTCTGGAACAATGGTATGTTAGAAAACTATTCATGTAAGAGACTTTTGAAGATAAGAAATAGACTTATCATCTTATGAACAGTCATAGCCTAATATGGTTGCCCTATCGACCTAAAAATTAAATTTGCCCCGTCTTTACATCTAAATTTCTAGGTCGGTAAAGCAGCTCTATTTGGTTACTGAAGACCGTAAAGAGTTACATCTATCATCTGTCTGGTCTATGGACGTAAATTGTGTAAGTAAATGTACGCTCGATACGTGCTGCCATCTTCGGAAATGGTTCAAGCATCCGATAAGGTAGAGTTCGGCTGTCACGCAGGAGGATGGCTCAATATATACGAAAATAAACAGATCCGTTTCACGTTGCTTTGTAACAAGTGTTTTCGTTATCTGGAATTTGTATTTGTATCTTGACGAATTAAATTTGAAATCCCATCGTAGATTAAAGTGTTTTCTATATATTGCTGTTTTAACATCAAGCAGCTCTCACGATCTTCCGACGAGCATTCGAAGAATTATGCACGTGAAACGAATCGAGATATATAAATTGTTCTCGACCATGACTTTATGGTTTCGAGGCATATGATAGTGAAGCCGGTTACCGTGGGATGACCAATTGCTGCGACTTTAATTTGTTTACGGCCATAATTAAATTTATATTTGTCGAATAAGACATATACACATCTTTATTCTTTTATTTTGTTTATTTTTTAATTAAAAAATTTGATATGTCGTATTTGATAAATATATAAAGTTGATCGAGCCTAGCAACCTTAATTCTTGCACACATTTCTCTCGTGTTTGCGACAGTTTTTGAAAATAGGCTACATAACGAGAAGGTAACAATGGATGAGATAGATCGAACTTCAACTTTCTCGATTGTTGTACTTTAAGAGGTTCGAACGAGGGCAACGATTTCGTCGAGAGGACGTTTTATCGCAGAGACTGAAATTTATAGAGTATACAAATTTGTGGATTCCAGAAAAATTGATGTCAAGGTGGCAGGTGTGTTTCGCACGGATATACCAGTAATAAGAAGATAATATTTGAGCCTCGAGAAACAGCGGTCTTCGCGAGTGCGAGAGAGTGTGAGAGACTGCGAGCGTCCTGCACTTTCCTAAGCACCTGCGGACCCAGAACGGATCCGGCAGGTGCAACAAGTGTACATGGAACCCCGAAGAGTTTTATGGCAACTGGCAACCCTCGCCCTTCCACCGACATCCGCAGGTAACACGATACAAGGTACGATTATAACGAGAAATTGCGGGCAGTCGAACCTTCGCCAAATCGCACAATCCTGCATACAATTAGGCTTTACGAGACATAACAAGATAAAAATAGCAACGATACGTTTCGACTTTCTAATTTCTGTTTTATTAAATAAATTACTTCGATTTACGGTGTTTACAATATTT